CACACATTCAAACAACTTTATTACTCCTTTCAAGTTTCTAGCCTTTGAAGGATCTCCAGACTCACAAAAAATGATTGTGTCATCCGCAAATTGCAAGTGTGACACCACAATACCCTCTCTTCCTACACTCCATCCTCTAAACATATCGAACCCATCAGCTCTCGAAATGAGCCTACTAAATACATCAGCTACCAAGGTGAAAAGGAAAGGAGAAAGAGGATCCCCTTGTCTCAACCCTCTAGAGGCTGGAAAGAAGTCTCTAACCACTCCGTTAACTAAAACTGAAAAATGACAAGTTTTTAAACAAGCCTCAATCCAGCCACACCATTTCTCTCCAAACCCAAAATTCCTCAGCTTCCAATAGAAAAGACCAATCGACCATGTCATACGCTTTCTCCAAGTCCAATTTACATGCAAAACCCTTCTTCTCCCTTCTCTTGAAGTCCTCCACATATTCGTTTGCTATCAAGATTTGATCTATGATCTGTCTACCTTGAATAAAGGGCCCTCGTGATTGGCTTATTAAAGTTGGCAGGGCTGATTTTAACCTTAACGACAACACTTTGGCCAAAATTTTATAAATGCTAGTCACTTTCGGTTGAACAACCTCTCCCTTTTTAGGGATCAAAGCCAGGAAGGTGGAGTTGATCCCTGGACTTATAAAGTGGGACTCTGCAAACTCCTCAAATACTACCAACTAACCTAACTTGATGATATCTCGACAATCTTGAAAGAAAGCCATAGTGAAACCGTCAGGTCCAAGAGCTTTAGATCTACCCATTGAAAACACGACTCCCTTTATTTCTTCCAATTCAAACTCCTTTTCCAATTGACTTGCCACCTCCTAGTCCAATCTAGGCCACTCTAACCCATCCACTCTAAGCCTCACATCCCCCTGTCTTTTGTAAACTACCTTGAAATGATTCGTGAAGACATTAGCAATCTCCTCTTGATCATACACTACTTCACCATTAATCTCTAACTTCTACACGAAGTTTTTTCTCCTCCTTCCATTAGCGATTGCGTGGAAAAATTTAGTTTTACCATTCCCTTCCTTAATCCATTGATGCCTTGATTTTTGTCTCCAACACATCTCTTCCCTTAGCACTATCTCTTCCAATTCCTTCTTCAGATTCCATCTTAAGGTCCTTTCTTCTTCTGAGATTGAGTTGTGTCCTTTTTCATCCAAAAGTTCAATTTGGGAAATAACACTTAATTTCTTCTCCTCCACTCTCTTGAAATGCTCCCTATTCCACTCTTTAATCTTACATTTTAGCCTTTGAATTTTCTTGTGAAATTTGACACCCCTCCCAAGGGTACCCACCACTCTTTGACCTTTTGGGTAAAGTCTGGATGTGTTAACCACATATTTTCAAATCTGAAAGGTTTAGGCCCACTCAGGAAATTCCTAGTTCCAATGCTTATCGGCCAATGGTCTGAAGTGACTCTTGGCAAGTCCCTAGCTGATAGACCTAACCAATGCTCTCCCCAATCTGAAATAAAGATGAACCTATCCAACTTAGAGCATCTCGGGTTAGATTGTAGGTTGGACCAAGTGAAAACAACTTGTTGGAGGGGGATTTCTAACAAACCACACTCATTAATAAACTCATTGAATTTCCTCATCTAATTGTGATCGCTTGATTGGGGTTATTGGTCTCATTTGTAAACCTAATCACGTTAAAATCTCCACCTAAACACCATGGACCCTCCCACAAACCCCTTATATCATAGAGCTCTTCCCACATTTCGCCTCTCTCCATATCTATTCA